CTACATGAACTTTCGGTTTTATTTTCACGAGTTCTATCGCCTATTGAATTTTCTCGATTATAATACCTACCCATGGGTTTATAATCTAAGGTTGGCCCCTCTCGTTGCCTGATATATGTGTGACAACCTCTGACCTACACTGGGGCGCATAAAAGGCTGATGATTTTTTATTTTTCAGAGGTCCGTTTGACATCTGCAGAAAAAGGACCTGTTTTTCTAGTGAAAATTACGGAAGTGTCAATTCCTATACACTTTTTCACTTCTTTCAATGCATCTTGGACTGCCATGGAATTTTTTGACATGAGTTACTTTCATGAAGAAATTACTCGTGTCAATCGAGTCTTGAATTCATGATAAATGAAAGTAACTGTAATTGTGGGCTATGGGCCAAAATATACAGCGTGTCTCAGCTATTAGTCCTGTAATCGATCCCAAATTCAGACAGGTATGAATAACAATCAATATGATCCGAGTTGTCGCAGACGAACATCATTTTGAACAGTGCCGTCGTGCGTTTTTATTGAAATAAAAAGGGGCCGATTTTTCATGAAATCATTAGGCATTTTTTTTGAGGAAATCCAACTTCATATTATTGTTTCTCATGCTTTCGAACCTCATTCTAACAGAATTGGCGCCATTCTTTTAATTTTCGGCATCGAAAAAATAGTGAATTTTATAAAAACTGCAAATTTTGGCAAGTTCAATTGCTCTGGTAGGTAGAAAATTATGATTGAATACAAAAAAAAACTTTTTTTGAAGCACCTTCTCCGGGAAAATGAATATTTTCTTAGAGAAATGCTGTATAAATGTGACTGTCCTTCAGGAACAGTTTATAGAAATCATGATTTCATAAAAAAAATGCACGGCACTGTACAAAATGATGTTCGTCTCCAAAAAAATTGATCATATTGATGGTTATTTAAACTGTTTCAAATTTGGTAAGAATCGCACGACTGATAGCTGAGATATAAAGGGCGAGGAAACAAACTACGAAGGTATCAAAATTATATGAAATATAGATGAAAAATAATCGACATTATGAGTTTATGATTCGAATCTCACTGCTTGCAAATGAAAAAGGTTGAATATTCTTTCTTTCAGGAAAGTACTGATAAAACAGCAAATTCATGTCTGTTTTCTTCATGAAATATCTTTCGTACGGACTAAGTAGGTGCATTTCCTGTTGAATAATTTCACGAAATGTATATTATCTCCTAAAATTGCAAGATCTGCCTCAGACTATTCCTCATCTGTATCTTTTTGGAATCAAACAAGAGTATATAGCACAAAATGTATTTCATCAAGTATTAAGAGGAATATCCCGGAAATTTCTATTTACACCGGAAGTTTCGACATCACCACTCCTATTTTCTTTCATCATAAGTATACACAACTAGGGTATCAGTCAAACTCCTGAAAGTTCCGAAAACTCCATTGCCACTAAATGACGAGCAATCTGGAATCAGGAGAGTTACGAAATTGCAATTACTTAATTACAAGCTCTGAGAACCAGCGAAAATTGAGTTAACGACATCGTTCTCAAAGGGCACATGCTGAATATCTAAAATGCCGATGAGAAATCTGGGATCCCTTTCGATTTTTTGCCATTGTCAATCATAATTAGAGCCAGGGACGGGCCCATGAGGAAGGGGAGGGGGGGGTGGATGAGTTCCCCCCCCATCCAATCCTAGGCGAGTTAGCAGAATAAGTTTGAGAAAGTTCCTCCAAAAAATGTTGCATGGTAAATCTTTGTTTTTCCTGACTACCAACCAGGGATTTCTACATCAAACTAGGAATCTCCAAGTTTGAAAAATTTAATTTTGATTTTGTGTTCAAAATTCACAAGTTAAATCAGGTAAGAAGATTACATTTTTACATATTGAAGTCGAAAAAATCAAATTCCGAATTTTGAGTTGGAAATATCAAATTCCAATTCGGAAAATGAAATTTCCATATTCAGGTCTCTAATGTGAGGATGGAATACTCTGTACAAACCCAAGATTTCCAACTGCGTACTCTGAATTTTTTGTAACCCATCAGTATTCCCAGTTCAAACTCAGAATTTCCGAAAGACAACCGCGTCGTCCTTCGTTCTTATCGTTTTTTGTCCAAAACGGAGACTGGAAAATAAAAAATGAGTTCACTTCCCCCCAAATGTCCCTTCCGGTTCGCGCCTGATTAGAGCGGCTCTATAGCGGTAACCGGATTATTTTGAGAAATGATGGAAAAAGTGTGTTAGATCATTAGGATGGGACAACAACCTCGAACAAAGAGATACCCACAAAGTTTTCCGATCATGAAATGGAAGTTACAATATTCTCTTGATCTATTAATGAAATTTGCCGAAGTTTTCCGGTTTTATGAAAGTGAATGTTTGTGAAACTCCTTCAATAAGTCTCAGTCATTCTCTGCCCATCCAACCATGACTGAATAGCAGTGGATTACGTCCTCAAAAATTGTACAGGTCCGTATACAATAATTGCAGCTTTGAGACATTTTATCATCAGATGAAAGTGGGCTCTATTCAAAAAGGTATCTAGTTTCACATTTTGTTCACACATGAAAGTAGTATGTGTATCAGAGATTGTTCCACCTAGACCGAGCAATTCATGAACATCTAAAATCATTTAGAGACAACACCACCTCAACTTACAAGACGATTTCCCCCCTTTGGCGATACGCAAGTCTATTCCTTTTCCCTAGATATGTCACTCGCATTCCAAGATCGACCTGGCACTTTCAATTCCAACTCCTAGCACCTTTTCCACAGACTCAGAAATCTCTGGGTCGCAGTTTATTTGCATTTGAAAACACCGACAGATGTTTCCCCTCTCATTCTCGCGCATATTTTCGTGGAGTTTCTTTTATTACGGTTGTCGATGACAGGTACACTTCGGCGCTTTTCATCCACTGGAGATTATATTTTTGTTCGGTCTTTTGTGCTTGTTGCCACTGCCAAAATACACTTTCGAATGGAGGAGAACGTGTGTTTGTGACTACGGAGAGTGCCCCTTGCTACCGGTTTAATTAATTCCTCTATAGCGTTTTTAATTGAAATTTCTGGCGGTTTTTCATTCTTTTAATAGGATTTCAATGCTGTTATAAGAGTTCGTCTTATTTGAATTTGTATAGCGGCATTATGCAAATCATTAATAACTCTTCTCTTTTCAATTCGGGCCAAAAATATCAGTCTCTCCGGAGCTACAGAAAGCTGATGATACGTTCAAAAAGCGATTCTGCTTATGACTGAAGAACTCTCCGCGACACAAAGCAAATCTGTCATGAATAACCACCACGCAGTGTGTTAATAATTCAGAGTCGCGGTAGAAGTTCGTTCTTGCATTGTCATATCCACCAACTCACGTAAGACACAGAGGAGTCTGCACCATGTGTGAAATCCAAATGCCAGCGACAGCTTTTGATGTACATACATCATATTATCATCCCACACGATCAGATTTATCATGTGTATATGAATGGCTGTATGGCTGTCTTCAGCAATGCTCTGTACTACAAATTCCCAACTCCTTCTCATCTCCCCTCTCTAGATAAGTTGAATATTTTTCTGATTGAATGGGTTGTTGAAAACCACCTAAGACACAGAGGAGTCTGTACCATGTGTGAAAGCTTCAGCTTTTCATGTACATCATATTATCATCCCACACGATCAGATTCATTATGTCTGTGTATATGAATGGCTGTATGGCTGTCTTCAGCAATGCTCTGTACTACAAATTCCCAACTCCTTCTCATCTTATCTCTAAAGGTGTTGAATATTTTTTCGATTGAATGGGTTGTTGAAAACCTCTTTTCAGGACTCCAGTACGAAACAGAGCCGAAATAACTTCGGAGAGTTGCCAGCGCCAATCAAGATGGAGGCTGGACTGCATGTTGGAAGACATTTTCAGATGCCAAAGAAAGTCGAGAGCTGAATTAATTCTTTATTTTCAATAAGACAGTGAAAATACTGTAATTTTTTTTATCTTCCTTTTTATGATAATGATGTTCGTATTCATCTGTCACATGTATTTTCACTCAGTTTTTATTTCGTTAATTTGACTTATGTCCGTTGAAATGAATATAAATACATGATTTTGTACAAAACCGTATAAAGCTAGTACATAAAGAATTAAGAATTGAGGTTGTTGTACCTGAATCCACCAATTTTATAATTCACAAAAACTATGTCGACCCCACTTCCATTAGCTCCTGATGTTTGTATCAGCTTTCATTAAAATGCATAGATTTTTTTCTGATGTGTATCTCTAACCTCATCTACATGTTTATGCATAGAGCATATGTTTTTTTCCACTGTTTTCTATAACAGCAACGTTCACAACACAATATTATCGATGTGGACTGTTTACTTCGTCAACAACTTTCAGTCAATCATTTTTTCCAACCCTTCCGATCATTATCCCTCAATAAACTTTCCCCATTAGTGATCAATAAAGCCCGACGTGTTACGTGGTGAAATACTACAATTCGATTCAGTATATCCTTTGTTTTGTCAATACATTTGTTGTTTGAATTATGTGAATAGTGAAAATAATAGAAATGGAGTATTATGGTAGAATCGTTCCTAAGATTCTAAGGGAAGGGGGATTTACGAATTTTCAATTGCCAGTTGGAAACAAGTTGTGAATCACCCTGTATATAATGGAAGAAATCAAGCAATACGCGTGAGTGGTTTATGGATTCCATACAAGAATCGTAATGCTTATGCTGACTATATACATTTTATGATACGTACTCTCATGAATGATTCCTGAGACACTTCATCAGCAATTTTTATTGTGTTGGAGGATATCGAAAGAGACCATTAATTTCGAAGATTTAGTCTCGCGTTGCCTTTTATTGCGTAAACTATACTAAAGCCTCCTTGGAGATCTATTTAAAATGATTAATTCCATGGCCGCCATCAAACTAATTGAAGTGATGAATAATGTAGGAGGCAGAGAAGAAGACGAATAAGAAGAAGAAGAAGAAGAAGGACTCACCTCCGCGGTTCTCACTGTCCGCTGGTTTCACTTGGATGGGGCGGTTCATCTGAAATAGAAAAAAAAACTTGTTAGCAAAGCTTAGGACAACATTTGTGCGATAACTTCGCGAAGTTGTTTTAATGCATTCCAAGAGATTCAGTTTCTTGAACAAATATTTTAATAGTGTCCATCAGATGTATTTCGAGGAAATTAAATCCAGCGCGAGATGAGTTGGAGGCGAAGTTGAAGCTGCCATCTATCAACGTTAGAGTAAATAGTAATAGATATAAGCCACAGTGAGTTTCATCGGGTCCGTATTGCAATTTAATGGAGGAACAATGCAATAATGATTGAAACAATGAGAATAATTGAAAACAGTACAGAGAAAATATCAAATTTTCACTCATCTTTGGACGATTCAGGAACGCATCTGCTCCCGTTATCAACATAAAAAAATATTGAAGGGGAAACAAAATCATTGCTTTCTGTTCAGTTGATATAGGAGAAGTTTTTTATGCTTTCCTATAATGAAGGGGCTCGTTGAGAATAAAAATGCTGGTTAAAAAAATTCAATTTTTAAGCCTGTAACATCGATTGATTACCTTTGACTCGTTTAATTTAATTTTGTGAAATCTGCTGAGTTTAAATTTTTGAAATTTCAATTAAGTTAAATATTGATCATCGCGGCAAGCTTTTATGATCATCAGGAACATTTTATTTCATTCTTCTTAGAGCGTTTAAATAAAAGCTTTTTATTGAATTTTTATTTTCTTTCATTTCATTTCATGATCTAACAAGCTTGTGCATCGTGATGTTCAGAACGTCAAATCCTCCTACTCAAGAATTCTGCAACTTTGTTCGTGTGAAGCATCCCGTGATCTCATATCTCGGGATGAGATTATAACAGGGAGGTATACGGTGGCTCTTTCGTGGTGTCGAAGATTGAACATCATTGCTGCCTGCGGACTAACTTCAAAGAGCAGGTTCAAACATGATTTATAATTCATTTGTTTTCTTTTAGACGGCGGCAATACTGAGGAGCAGAGCGCTCTTGATATTGAAGCCGTTCTTGATGCTGATAGCGTCAGGGCTAATATATTATGAATATTGATGAGGTTGGGGAAAAGTTTTACCAATACAAGTTTCATCAGCGTATTAAATTGGGAAACACTTTTTCTTCGATTTGAGGGAGAGGAAAGGAAAGTTAGATGTTCACATACTAAATTGAAAATGATGCGGGAACTGACATCCAAGGAACTCCACGGATGTTGAGGATTGAATTACAAACACAGAATCCCTAACCTTGGTGGTTTCTGAATTAAAATGGATGCTTTTTGGATAGGAATTCAGTAATCTGAAATTCGAGTTGTAGTTCCTGAAATACAATTTATTGATCTGAAATTGAAATGGAATTGTTGAATTATAATTAACTATACAAGTTATACATTCTTTCAACTACAATTGAGAAGGGTTTAGATTGAAATAAGAGTGTACAAGAACGCTTATACAGGGTATGCATCTTTGAGGTCTCAGTTTTGTTTAACAGAGTCATCCTCTCATGAGCATTAAGAAATCATTGCCAGCAAACTCTCAATATATCGACAACCAGAAAATAATAACTATTAACTCAGTTTGGAATCATATGAAGACATTGTTTTTCCACGACTAGCTATACAGGGCCTTTCGTAATATGTCTTTATTGACTAGTGGTTCATAAAATGACGAAAACTAATGGTCGGTTATACAGGGTGTTTCGTAATATGTCTTTATTGACTAGTGGTTCATAAAATGACGAAAACTAATGGTCGGTTATACAGGGTGTTTCGTAATATGTGGGACGCACTTCGAGAGGTGATAAGCCTTGAGTATAATCTTGGTCCCTGGGTGATAATGATTTAATTTACCATTTTCACTTGTTTATAAACAGCTCTATCAATAGAGGCTCGTAACAATTCAGTTACCGAGAAACCAAGCCCCCATTCCAATTCCCAAATCGAATGAAGCAGTTCAGCTAGCGTTGAGAGAGAACACAAATGTCTTCCTTATCTATCCTTGTCTTCAGTGTTTCAACATGAAATGATAAAAATTTCGTGTTGGTAACACTGGAATTTTTTTTATGGTCTGGTTCCCACGAAAAGGGATATCCTGTAATGTTCAGAGATTATCGTGAGAACCGAGGAAAATGAGGTAGGAATTGGTGTTCTTAAACTTCTGGAGGTTATATGCATCGGGGAACACCTTCGCAATGTGTTCCAGACCCTCACTGTTCGTTGGATGAACGAGTCTTTGGAAAGAGATGTTCTGCAGGTCTCCAAAGTGACGACGGAGGGGTGCGAAACCTCAACTCGATGGGTTAATCTCACGGGGACTGCCAAGGGAGGAACAATTGTTGATATTTCAGAAGAGCATTTTCCATGAAGATATCTTTAAAATAGAGCCAGATCGCCAACTTTGCTTCGGTGTTCCAGAGAAGTGAGTGAGTTTGTGAGCGAGGCATCACCCACGAGACGAATTGCCCTTTTTTGGACAGAATCCAACAGTTTCAGGGTATGTTTGAGTGCTGCACTCCAAATATGGGAACAGTATTCCAAAACAGGTCGGATCTGTGCCTTATAGATCATAAGCAGCTGACTGGAAGTGAAATAGTTCCTGGCCCGAAACAGGAAACCAAGTTTTTGGGATGCACTTCTAGCAATTGATCTAACGATCTAACGTGGTTTTCCCAAGAAAGGTTATTGCTGATAGTGATACCAACCATCGAAATAGATGTATTCAAAGGTATGGTTACTCCTGATAAGCTTATGTTGGGCACAGTGAGATCGGCTCTTCTAGAGAAAAGGCATGGTTGTGTTTTGTTTGCATTGAAATCTACCAAGTTATTGGATCCCCATTCGAGAATTGTTGCCAAGTCCATATTTATGTTGTCAACATTTCTTCCTCGTTTGTTTCTGATTTGCCTGGCTGGTATTGGAGCATTGGAAGAGAAGGCAGTATGGAGGGTACTATCATCTGCGAAGCGGTGTACTGGACATGAAGTTGCTTCCAAAAAATCGTTGATATGGGGAAGTAGATCATTCAAACCTCTTTTATATTGAGGTTATTATAATCTTCTTCTCCTTCTTCCTATTTCCAATATTATCAACATTGAATTTCCATTATTTCACGGTGACACACTGAAGACAAGGACAGGTGAAGGAGACTTTTTTTTCTCTCTCAACGCTAGCTTAACTGCTCTATTGGCATCTCTATCTCTAGTTAAACTTTAAACTCCAATTTGTAGCAGTCACACTTCATCCTGACAGCAACTTCATTGCACGGAGTCAACAAAAAACGCATATAATTGCCGAACTGTATATTTAAAACGGCTGCATTTACAACATAACAAATGTACTCCATATCTCATATGGGCCAGTAGCCGCGAACACGGTTCTAATTTACTCTGATGACAGGAAATTAAAGTCGAGCTCCTGTCCATTATGGCAGGAATGTTGTTATCGCCTATCTCCATAGTTACAGCTGGCCCCAGCTTTCGCACATCGCATTCCGCCCCATAGTCCAGTTTCAAAGGCCATTATCGAGGCTATACACTGTCGGGACATATCCAATACAAGACGGGATACATGGGATTGCCTATTGCTGGATCTATTGACAAAAGACGAGCAATCAGTGGCGTTGTAGGTGCAAAGGGAGATAAGTGATTAGACTGAAATCGACACTGATTGGCAATATGTGCAGGGATCTTGTCAACGGAAGATGGTTGCGTTATATAAATCTAGAATAGGGTGTCCCGAAATTAGCTTGCCATACTTCACCAGCGGCTTCTACGACCAAAAATTGAAAAATATGTTTAACTGAACGTTACTCCTGATGGGGGCTCCTGAACATGATATTTCCTGAATATTCCCGAAACGTCATTTGTTAAAATGACGCGTTTCGGTACAAGAACTAAACTTTCCATGCTCAATGCAGTGAGATCGAAATGATTCCAAGATGTCATCAGGATTGTATAATACAGGGTGGAAACTTTTTGTATGCACTAGATTCCAGTGCCATTCCTGTGATTCTCGCATCAGAACAGTGAATTCGGGTTGATTACAACAAAGGTCGCTATGTCTTCATTGACTAATATGACGAAAACCACCTTGGTAGAAGCCTCAAAAATCAGTAAATAATGGTAGGTTCTATCGGGTTCTATAGATAGTGGTATGGAGAAAGATTATATTTCTACTCTTTATACCCGTACATCAGGGGCTCATGATATGTAGAAGTAGCTTTATTATCTGAAAACCAACTAACAAAATAATCCACAGATACCTATTTTTGAAACTATATTAACGCGTAGTGACGTAGAGTCATCAATCAATAAATGTTTATTTCACAGGATGTTTGAGTTGAGAAATCGACATTGTTAAGGTTATTTCATCTTCAATAGGTTTCTGAGGAGGAAATCATATAACAAAATCGGTTATAAAAATTCAAAAATGAAATAATATTCTGGACATGTCTGGATTTCCACATCTATAGATACAAAAATCGATAAAATTAACTTGGACCAAGAAGAGCTAGAAGAGTACACTCAACCATTGAAATCAGAATGCTAATGAATTAAATCCATAAGCTCATTTCAGTGGAAAGTATATAGGGTGTCCGGAAATTATGCGCAAAAAATCAAGGGGGTGATTCTTCATGAGAATTCATGAGATTTATTTAATATATACTCGGGTCCGGAAATGCATAGTTTTCAAGATACAGTGTGTTGAACTTTTTAGAAAAAATCGGTTATTTATGAATATCTCAAATATCCTTCCATCGATTCTCTTGAAATTTGGCAATGATATTCTTTGTCATGCTGATTTAGCCCTCGTTTAGCCATAATTAAATTGGAATTGTGAAATCCAGTGGCGTCCCGGGGGCACCCTACCCAATATTATTGTCAATAAAATGTGCGCCACTGATTTTTTCCAAATTCTATATCGTCATATTCAAATGATTAACTGAAAATATTGTGTGTAACAAATCACAATATTATTACAATACTTCTGTCAAATATGCTTAAGCTCAACCACT